ATTTCTCCCATCTTCTGCAGGAAATACCCTTAAATTTCATTTTCATAGTGACTGAAAAGAAGGAAGCCTTACCTTTCTTCCACTTTAGGTAAAGTACTCTTTTCACAGTAGAATTTTATTCCTAGGAACTTTGTGTTTCTATACAGACCATCTACACCCTTTGGGAGGCAGTCTACCACAGAAGCTGAAGTATTTTTTCCTGAAGCATCTCCTGATCTACCAAATATTCTGTTCAGGGACAGGAAAGTTATTGTGATACTTGAAGATTTAACAGTTTGTTGACAAAATAATCTCAAAAAATGTCTTACAAAAACACTCTGATATTTTGATAGTGGTATCTGTACAAGAATATTATTTTATTTCAGCTTTAGTCTGCTTCCAGAAATGCTACTGAGTAGATTATAATATCGACCTGAGGACAACAGGCTATGTTTAGTGAATTGTCTGATCCTGCAAGAAGCACTAAGGAGAAGTGGCTCAACTGGCCCAACATACAAAGTTAAGATCAAAAAAACATATATTTTACAAAATCAAATAATAAATGAACAAAATTACTCAGTAGCCATCCAAATCACCAGTCTGCATTTCAATTTTTCGAGTACAGTATGCTGTCACAATACTCAAATAAATGCTTTCATAAAAGCATGCTAAGAAAAAAAAAAAAAGATTAACAGAAAAGGTATAGTCAGTTCCAAGCAACAATGACTCAATGACAAAAGAAAAAAAGAATTACTTTGGGAGAGGATTAAAAACTTAGGTACTGAAGTCATAAAGTCTTTTTGTTTTCTCTTAGTGTTGTGATGAAGTTTTAACAGTCTATGAATAGCATATTGTGTATTTTAGATTGAGTCAACATTTGCTATTCAAGTAAAGAGAATAAAAATTGCAGCCACTATTGCAATAAATGTATTTTTTTAATTTAGAAAAACACAAGCCACTTCTTCAAGATAAAAATATACATTCTACATTATTGATTAGATCTTTAATTCCTGAAAGCATTAAGACTACAAGTTGCCACCTTAGCACAAATTTAAGTATGCTACAAATTGTCATTCCTTAAAAGTAGAGGTGTAGCAACCTAAGACAAAAGAGAGTTGGGGTTTGGGTCTTGTTTTCAACAAATGATGACCATTAAAGTATGTTATTTTGAGTAACCTCAAAATAAGGTGTACATTTCTGTGGAGAAACAGCAAAAACTTCCACAAATAACCTTGACTTGGTAGTAATGTCACTCGCTGTATGGCAGGCAAATTTAACAACCAAAGGCTCTCTGTACAGTGAGTAGAGAATAGAAGATTTCTTTTGGAAGGACTTACATGCATACCAGTGGGAGTTTATGTTAAACATCGCTCATAGCATAAGACACTGATATGAAAACATATGGCCTTCCTCCATTCCTTTCTCCCACTCCCATTGCTTCTGTCTATGCATTTTTATTTCCTTCATATGTAAGCTGTAGAGCTTAGCAAAGGTTTCATCTCTTAACTCAAGACAGCCTAAAACCACCCACCATTTTGGCCAGGACAGTCATCAGCCCAGATGAAGTCTACGCCAATCTTGCAACTGAAATACAAAGCAATTCTACTCCTCTTGCTAGCAATTTCCTTAGAGGTTTCCTTGCTTCTCTTCAAAGGTTTTATTCCTGAATATTATTATTGCCACAATTCTCCATTCAAAAATGTTTTATGTAAAATACTTGTAGTATATGTGTCCTTGCTATTCCTGCTTTTTTCTCTACTCATTGTATAAGCAGAAGGAAGTTTGCTAGCAACAGGAAAGCTCACATCAGTTGCTAAATGGTGCTTTATGTCAGCAAACTGTATACAGGATAGTCACAATATTCCTTTAAAACGGTTAAAATTTAAGAAACCAGAGAATTGTTTCAGGAACATGTACATTGCCTAGGCAGCTTAGGAAAACCTCCCAGGAACCGAACAAATCTTTCAGCACAATACTGTCAAAATTGTCTTTGCTGGTTCCAGCAATGTGAAGTGCCTCAGCTCAGTGTGATTCATTCTGTTAGAGATGTGCTCAGTTATGGGAACAAACCTGCAGAAAGTGGCTTTGCTCCCTGAGAAGATTTGAGAGCCAGTGCCAGTCTGTCACAGGATAATACAGCCTGAAACATCTGTAGTCTCAGGAGATTTCAACAGCTTAAGGGAAATACATTCTGGTTTTGCACCCTTTTCAGTGATTTGAGCTTTTGGCTGTCAAGAGAACAATTCTCCACCCTCCCACTCCTCCAAATACAATTGCTTCTCCAAACATGCTGACAAAAGAGGAATTGCGTAATTAGTTCTGGACCAAAACAGAGCAAGCTGAACCTTTTACTGAAGTACTTCATGAGAATTAAGCACTTTTGTGCCATCTTCATCACATCAGATGTCTGAGTGCCATCCTCCCATCCTTTAAGCAGTGAGCACCACAGTGTGGACAAGAGCTGTTAAAACAGCCCAGGTAAATAATGAAGCAGCATGAGACTGTGCACGTCCAAGCGGCAAGATTACTCAAGTGCTTCCAGAAGGAAATGTAAGCTAGGACAGGCTGACTCAGGTTCCCTTTGCTACAGAAACTCCTGTAGGTCTGGTATTTTAAAATTGTTTTTTTGGAAATTCATTTGTGTTATACTGCTAGAGTGCTCACTAAATCACAGACAAGCAAATATAAACTCCTACCTCTAGAGACTATTTTCAAAATCCTGCAGAATAACAGCTGAATTTCTGCACTGCATGACTGGGGGCCTAAAGTACACTTACAACAGACATCCCAGGAAACAGCCTCCTACACAACATGTAACATCTAAGCTTGACACTGTAAATTAATCCAAAGCAAACAAGCTCTTTTAAATCCTTTTTATTACAGAAAAACAAAAGGCTTACACTTGACTTAAAAAAGCAGCATTATTTTATGAATCCAAAGTCATTACAGTGAAGTTGCTTTAAGAAACCTCTAGAGACTGAAGAAATAAAATGCCCCTCCTCAGACAGCATTCTAGATTACTTGAGTGACCACAGCAAACACCTTAATGTCACATCACTTCTGACACCCAGTTTTTTTTCTCCCCATGACTTGTTCAATGTTGCTGGGGGAAGGATTGGATGAAAACAGCAATACATTTCAAGTCTAATTTTTAACAGTTCTGATAGACATTAGAGTTCAGAAGTGACTGACATACAAGCTTTCCTCCTAACTCCAGCTATTAAGTGCTACAGTTTGAACAGATCCCAGCGTGATCCGTTTCTTCCACAGTATCTATCATTATTCAGGTCCACATCTCAGAATACTTCCCAGCTAGTCAACTGGCTACTACTGATTATAAACATAAACAAAAATAACCACAAAAAAGAAGGCTCCACGTTGAAACAGTTCTCAGCAGTGCAGCAGAAGTCAGGCTTTTTTTTTTCTTTTCATTACACTCCAGAGAAGGAACAGCACAGTTCCAGTGACCACTTCAGGTTTTTTTATTAAGTCAAAAGCTGCAGGTTTCCAGCCTGAGCCAACATTAAATATGCAACTGATCTGTACTGAAATCTTAAGAAAAGAGACAAAGAAAACATACTACTGCCTTAATAGTCCTACATTTTGACTATAAGCACTGAGTTGTGCAGAAGTCCAAAGAAATTTACAAGTTTTTCATTAAGTGATTTTTAAATTTTTTTTTCAATAAACAGCTCAGGAGCTCAATACCATTAAAAAAATACCCCTTTCTAAACACATTTTTAAGCACCTATTCCTCACGTATATGCTAAACCTACACCTCTCAAAGGTTCTACAAAAAAAATAAAACCTCAACAAAATGCAAGAAAACTCAAGTCACTATATACAACTGGCTATAATGAGAAAAATGAAAAAAAGGCAATTCATAGAAAAAAAACAGAGAAAACATAAAAAGGGGGGAAAAAACCGTATCAGATACCTACTACTCAGTGTTCTATGACCTCACTTATAATCTTTCCTTCAAAAAGAAAAAGGTTTGTATTCATAATCAGACATGGAATTTTTCCAAAAAAAATTCCTGATCTTTTTACATGTTGTTCAAACCACAATCTTTCAAGTCAGAGATCTACTTAAGGTACTCTGCATGGCCAACCTGAAGCCAGCTGTTACCAAGCTACTAAAACAGAAGAACAAGTTTCTTTCCCACAGGGAAAAAGAATGCAATATGTTTTCCCTGGTTGTGATTCTACAGCATCATCAAATTTACTCAAACATAGAACTTGTCTATTTAAGCTTACTCATGGTTACTATTTAAAATTCTTCAATTTAGTGCTATAGCACTAAATAGCAATTTCTTATGTGATCAAGCTGCCTGATAAGGAGGACCTAATGTTTTGTATTATACAGTAATATATCCTTAAAAAAAAAATAGAAATAAAATGAAAAAAACACAGCATGAATAGTTTGAGGGCCCTAATGTTTTGTATTATACAGTAATATATCCTTTTAAAAAAAAAAAAGAGAAATAAAATGAAAAAACACAGCATGAATAGTTTGAAGCAGAGAAATATAAGTTTTGTTTTTGTGGTACTTTCCATGACATAGATGCCAAAGGATGCCTTAGAGCTTATCATTGGAGAGTTTTAGCCCTAGGCACAAATTAGTCCTTTTCACAGTCATGGGGGTGTATTAATAGTGGCTTTTATGATGGAACAGGTAACAAAAATGCTTTATACTGATCAATCTCTATCAATGTCAACATTAATCTTCATTAATTCCCTCCTTCAGAGTAGGTAACAGTCTCAAACAAAACTACCTATTTCAAAGATTTTTCACAGTCATGGGGGTGTATTAATAGTGGCTTTTATGATGGAACAGGTAACAAAATGCTTTATACTGATCAATCTCTATCAATGTCAACATTAAGCTTCATTAACTCCCTCCTTCAGGTAACAGTCTCAAACAGAACTACCTATTTCAAAGACATATAACAATCTCAAGTAAACACTGTAAAATAAATAAACACCATTCAAAAAGCTTGTCATTAGAGAGTTACACAAATAGAAGGTGTTCATATTGACGTCTTCCTTTATCAAACTGTGCTGCAGATTCAGAAATCTTACAGATCTCTTGCACTATAAGTGTGCAACCACTCACAAAAAGTAACTAACAGGCAATGATGTTCTAAAAGGTTTTTAACATAATTTTCCAATATTTTTAGCTGCTAAAGCACTAATAAACACTTAGCATATAATTCCCACATCCTAAATCAAGTAAACATTCTTGACTGTGAATAATTATATTATTACATGGTAGAACAGTCCTCCAATTCCCAAAATTTTACATTTAATTTGAGGAAATAGAGAAGTTTGTTGTTTTGGTTTTGTTTTTCTTTTCCCATAATAATGTACAACAGGTAGAACATGTGACTTCTTAGGAAATTTTTAAGTTGTCTTCAGCTATCAGGCTCTAAAACACTTTACAGCTCTCCTAACCTTTCCTTGTTTTCAACTTTAATTTTATATGAATCAGTGCATATCCGGGCTGTATTAGTAGCAGTTCATCACATATAGTAAGGTCAAGTAACATTATCTCTGTTCTGGAAATGAACAATTCAAAACTCTTATAAAAATGGTACAGGACTGTACCTGAAAATTTCTTCAGTTTAAATTGCTCTTTGTTAATCTACTAAGGACAATTAAGAGAACATCCATTTTTTTTCTGTCAATTTCTGAGAAAATGTGAACACATGCAAGTCAAAACTACCATTATGCAGATAAAACAATCCTCTTTCATGAAGATAACCGATAAATGACAACCGCCAATAAATAAGTCTATTTGGAAATTCTAGAGAATTCTCTTGCTAAACAAGTTAGTCTTTTTTCTTTTCCATAATGTCTTTCTGTTTAAGCTCTCCATCTGAAAGTTCTGTGTATTTTCCATTCTTTTCCTCCTCTTGTTCTTCCTCACTGCCTTCATCTGTGAGCTCTCGATCACCACTTTCTCTTTTGGCTCCCTCATGCTCAAATACCTCTCCCTCTGTATCAGCTGTGCAGATTCCATAACACATGATGCTGATGACCCCCAAGGGCAACCCAAAGAGAAAGCATCCCAGCAGTGGTGAACTCTTGAACACAGACTGTTGAAATAGAAAGTAAAAACCACTTTCAGTGAATATAGAAAGTTACTGCATCACTCTGTGTATTTATTCAAAAAACATCCAAAATGAAAATCAGTTTTTCCGAGGGATCATGGAAAAAAGTAGTTTGGAAAAGACCTTTCAGATCATCAAGTCCAACCTATAACATAACACCACCAACAAGAGCACAGCACTAAGTGCCACATCCAGTCTTTTACTAAACACCTCCAGGAATGGTAAACCCAATCACATCCCTCTGCAGTCCATTCCAATGCCCAAATTGGAATCCTTTCAGCCAACAACCTCTTCTTAATGTCCAACCTAAACATTCCCTGGCACAACTCAAGACTATGTCCTCTTGTCCTAATGGATGTGTTATTTTGATTTTTCTGCTTGTTTGGTTTGGGTTTTGGGTTTTATTTTTACTGTTGTTTTGTGGAGTTTCTTGTTTGCTTTCTTCTGCAAAAATGGCAAGGAGTCCTCAATTTCAAGAATTTCTACTATAAGTTCATAAAAAATGACACAAGTTCGGTATTAGAATATTGCATTGGGATAGTTAATGTTTACATGCCAACTGCATATCCTATGCATTCTTTGAAGTTTTAGAAACAATTGTTCTAAGAGCATTAAAATCCACTTTGAAGAAAAAAGTTTCACCTCTTACTTGTGTCTTGTTGTCAAAAATTAGTCTGCAGACAAATTCTAGAGAGCTTCCTGTTGAGGAGTAGCTTAATGGCACAGGAAGAAGGATTAATGGTTTCAGAAACTGGTGGCTAAACACTTTCACAGAAGTTTGGAAGACACTCATTTAGAAGCAAGTGAGTTTCAACTTAAATTCACAGCCTAGGTTTATTTGCTTGTGTAGGACAAGTGAAGAAATGGATTTGTGTGCATCTTCCCAACAACATTTTCTTAAGCATAATTTACTTATGAGAAAGACAATAAAAATGTTTGCTCTAAAATTACACGAATAGAAGTATTTAATTCCCTTATGCACTAGGTAACTAAACAAAAAATGTAACATTCCTCAGAACAGTGAAGCACCAGTTTCAGGAAATGATGTCAAAAGGGTCAAGGAAAAGATCTTGAATTCTCTCTGTTCTATCCCTTAAAATATATGTCAGGCATACAGAAGAGAACTAAAAAAAATGAAGGAATTAAGATATATATTAATTATACATATTATAAAAAAATTTAATCAAGAAGTTCTTTTAGCTTAAACCTATACATATACCTACAATAGATACACAATATAAAACTCATATAAAAATATTTTAATCCCTCTGAAAGTATTTGTATCCTGATTGACAAGGGCACCATCTAATTCAATGAAAAATAAAACTTACCACTATAGTAGACTTGGCATCATAGATTATTCTCTTGATTCGTTGCAGAAGTCCGTCACCACCCTGTGCCTGAAATTTCAAATGGAACCATGTCAAAACTGCTGACACTTTTCAGTTATGATTCCAAAAGTTCATTCTTCAGACCTTGCAATCTTAAGTCCCTTTAGAAGGAAATGAAAAGTAATTATTCTTACATCTCATGATGCCCAGACACTCCAACTTGCCAAACCTGGATAAAGATTATTCAGTAGTCTCATGAAAAGGTCCCTCAGAATTGTTTTAAACTATTAGTGCCAGCCTGGACAATGGGCTGAAACTCTCTCTCTTACCATAAGGAAACACTAACAAAAACTAGCAACTGTCCCAATTTAAAACTGCAGAGCTCTTCTGAACTTTCCTGCAGCTGTTGAACATCCACTTATGGATTATGACAGCACAGTTAGGGACATCCAAGTACTAAGCAAAGAGAAGATATGAATGTGCAATAAATAAAACCTGTCTCAAGCAATGACAGACTATACCTAAACTGCCCCCTAATTCAGCAGTGTTCAAAATAACTACATGAACCAGAGGGCAGTCTGTCTGCTGAACAGGACTGGTTTTCACCTTCCTTGAGTAGCCAGAGAAACAAACTCATATTTGGAAGTCAACTCATCAGCACATGATCTGACCAAAAATCCCTCAAATAGCAAAAAATGTCCACAAAGATGAGACAGACTCACAAAAAGTTACCTATAGAGTCTTACAGTGTAACAGTATCATCCAGGTGAATAATCAAACACTTCCCAAGGAAGAGAAAGGGGAAAACCAGACTTCTCAGAAGTTTCTCTATGGTTCAGAAAGTCTGCATCCTATTAGTTGTTTACCATCATATTTTGAAGACTCTCATTCCTCAAGTGCTGCACAATTTCTTGGGCAGAGAATGCAGCCAAAGTAGTGCAATTTTATGTCTACAGACACCTTAAATATAGACAGCTTAAATGAAGTCATATCCTCTATTTTTGTATTGTACAGATGAATTTAGACTGACCTTTAATCACTCTAGCTGAGATACTGCAAACAAAAGGTAGAAAGACCTAATTGACACTATGACACTACGGCAACAAACACAAGGCATCACAAATAATTCTTCTCCAAGTAAAGAAAAAAAAAAAACAGACAGAAACCAATTACATTCGCTATTTCAACCGGAAAGAGACATACAATTAAAGCCTAATTGATGTTGATAACTCAATGCACTTAAAAACCATTAAAAAAGCGAGAACTCAAGAACAAAGAAACACCAAGTTATAGCAATACCCCTCACACTGCAATGGAAAGCAGGGCCAGTAAAGTCCTGAGCACCACATAAATTCACCTATATCATGTTCTACATCAACCAGGCACATTAAGTAAACCAAAATAAACCCCATATGACAAATATCTTCTGTGTTATTTTCCATTACCGGCCAATGTCCTAAACTACAGGCACAAAGTGGAATCCAGCTAACACGGGAAGCACTCAATATACAGTCAGCTGGGGCTTAAACCAAAAACAGTCTTCTCCCAGGAGGCAGCCAAATTATTAGCTACTAAGCTCCCCTCTGTGGCAAAGCCTTCCATCCCCAGAAGCACAAATGAAAGTTCTGCTCCATGACCTCTTTCTTTACCCACAGAAGATAGCTTTCTGTTCAACTTACAGTACACTGAGGGAATAAATACTCAAAAAATATCCAAGTCATCAATTCCAATTAACATTGCTGTTTTAACAAAAGACAGCTCTTTTTTAGTTTTAGAGCAGAGAGAAGTAAGCTTGTGTCTGTTTCTAACATTCAAAGCGAGTATAATACTGGTTTCTTTTACTCTAAAGTTGTAATTCCTCCAGCTATTTGATTTATTAATTTTCCACCCAAAAGAAAGGGTGCAGTTCAATTATACACTATCATTCAATATTTTAAACAAATGCATTTAATGTAAACCAGGAGATGAAAAGAAATCTTTCCATTTACAATTGCACCTGTAAAAGGAATATCAAAAGAAGCTGCTACCATTATGCTATAAACAAAAGAAAGCTTGCTTTGTACAACATGCAACAGCATGTTGTATATGTGATTTACAATCACATATTCAGTGACAGCACCCAAGACAGTAAAACAGGACAGGAATATTAAACACACACATAACAATCTGAGTAACCATTTTTTTCTCCTTACTTTAGCATCTAAGAAAATAAACACTAACCAATATATTCCAAGCTACTATGAAGACTTACCTCAGCTGTACCATCCAGGATATTGTTAATAAATTGAACCATGTCTTCTGTGCTCTCAATGTTCCTATCTGGTAGAAAATATTGCTGATTGGAGGTATTCAGTACAACAATAGTAGGGATTGTCAAGTCACTGGAAACATAAACAAACAGTTTATATATTTAAAGAACTACCATATAAAAGATTCCAATTCAAATAATCCCTACATCATTTCAGAAGAGAATCTATTAATCTTCACTTCATGTGTGCTCTTCATAGTAATTCTTTAAAAACAAGAAAGCAAGAAAAAAGGTACGGGCATGGTATGGTATGGACACATTTCTCATTAATATTATTTTCCTTCACATCTATGTCACTGACACTATTGAAGTTTACAGCATTTTACATATCCAAAGCAACTGCAAATCAGGTACCTTATGACTTTCCAAATACTAAGAGATCACAAACAGCAGCCTTGTATACAAAATGCATTAAGTACTTAGATTTACAAAGGCAGAAGTGTAAGTCAAAAATGCAATCCCACACAACCGTTGTCTAACTGATCACCTTTATCAATCAACCTTTGCTGGTCAAGTCAAAAGAATAAACCATGCCAAGCATAGCTTTTCTATAGCTCTTTTAGTTATAGTTTAAGAGGAACAGAATTTTTAAAGAATTATTACTCAGCAGTTAAATCTTCATGTGCATGTGCACATACATCATAATTGGAAAGAAAAAAAAAGTTAGAAATTATCTCTGGACTCAAACCAGTATAATCTTCTATTAGTTGTAGCACTAAATTCAAAATAAGATCAGGTTTAAGAAATTTTAATACTGCAAAAGTAGACTGTTCAAAAAGAAAGATTTAAACATATTAAACAAGTTTAAAATCTCCTGTAGTCTTTATCAAATTTTCAATTTTCTTTATCAATTACAATTCTGTCAGTAATGAATTCAAGTACTTCCTTCACAGCCGAAGCAAAGAAAACCTTGTTTTTCTATGTTTTCACCCTTCTATCCATGTACTTTTGTAATACATGTAAAATTGATGATGATTTCAGGCTTATCTGTGGCTACCAATTAACAGTAAATTATTTAATGAAAGTACTGGTTATTTACTCAAGATGCCCATTTTTCTTTGGAGTCACTGAAATTACCCTACATTTACTCTCACATTTTAGGTGGGGCTTTTGGTTTTGATTTAAATTCAAATGCAACCCTAAAAGTGAAAAAGTTTAATAATATATGACAATTTTCTGAACTTCCAGAAAGCTGAACACTTGAAGATTTAAGGTGCAGACTCTCTTTCCAGTACTGAAGCTGAAAGCATGGTGACACGTCAATAAAAATAAGGGCAATTAGAGGGTTAACAAAATAATGCCATCCTTTAAATGGAACTTTAGAAAAACTAACCAAATAACACAACTTTGTACACCAAGGCAACCTACAACATAAGAGTCAATAAATACAACATTTCCCCTTGAAATTTTTATTCTGTTCTTACTAGGGACAAAGAAGAAATCTAAGTAGAAGGCACTCAAACCAAGTCACTGTTTTTGCAAGCATCTGGTAACAGGTTCCTAATTCCTACCAAAATATGTCCTTCCAGCAAAACAGAACAATTTTTAAAGAATTATTACTCAGCAGTTAATCTTGATGTGCATGTGCATTGTTAATTGTTCTGTTAATAACAGAATTTTGTTAATTAGATGCAGTGTTTCTGTTGCATTTAACAGTCTGGTAACTGATGTTCTTGCAGTTGGTTGTAGAGCAGCTGAAAGGTAACCTCCATATACAGATTCTTTATGCTATACAGAAGTTTACAAAAACACATTTAATGTGTTACTTTCAAGAGCAGAGTTCTACATATACCTAGAGCTGACTGTGATATTATACACGTTAGCTTATAAAAAAACTGTAATTTTGCTTTTAATACAATAGTGAAAAGCATTTTTTAGTAAAATTTAAGGTAAAATTATGTATTTTAATTAAAATACACAATATTCTGATTTCATCTTTTGTGCATGGTTTTAAATGTATAATTTCTAATCCAACAAAAGTATGTTCATATACTGCTGAAAAGACAGAATTATCATGTCTACTGAAGGAGTTACAGTCAAGTTCATAAATGGACTTTTGTCGAGGTTTTATTCTATTCCCAGAAATCATACAACATTTTGTCCTCTGTAAAGAACACAGAGTTTGTTCCTATGTGCATCTAACACACTAAAAAGTGTTTTGTGATAGATTTATCATTATTCATATTTTTTCTATTTCCACTTGCTGCCACCTGGTGACAAACTGAAGCAGTTGCAATACTTTTTTTTTAAACTCAAATTATTCATGTAGTCACATGAAGAGCCACTACAACAAACATAATTTGCTGCATTCTTTTGCAAATTCCTACTCGTGCTTGAAAGGTATACACTGGTATATAAAATAATTAAAAGCTGGTGAGTACTTGAACAAGAACTTTCCACATACTACAAATAATAAAATTAGGTATTTTGCAGATTCAGTGAAACAACTCAGCTGAACAGACCTTGCCACTAGATCACTACCACTCCAAGTGGCAGTTCTGTCTTCTTTCCTTTCATTTCCTTCCTCATGTCCCTCCCCTACTTCTCTGCACATCTGTGCTGGTACTCAGCAGAGGAGTAGGAAATAATATTGTTGAATCAGCAAAGTAACTTCCCTACTTGCCCAGACAGAAAACCAAACAATTTTCTGACAGATAAACAGGATGAAAGAGCTCAGCAGACAGACATGAGAGCCTGCACAGGAGAAGCAATTAAGCAAGTGAGGAAGGTCTCACTTTTGGCAATTATAAAGCACTAGCTCAATCAAATCACATAATTTTAATGGAGAGACAATTGTCTTTAAATCAGGTGTTAATCTACAGACATTCTACAAAAATGTAGACCTTGTGCTTCTGGGTCTAGATGAAGCTCCTAGAATCTTTAGGAGGCATGAACACATGCTTAATTAACGTTTTGATCCCCAAGAAATGGATTTGGAAAACTTACAGAATTATAATACTGACTCCTGGTTTTCCCTTCTTTCAGACTTCCAAAGGCCAGAGGAGAAGTAGTAGTTAACTACAAATGCCAAGCAACTCAACTCTCTAATTACGTATTTTTTAGAAAAGGATCACAGTAAGGGCAACTGTCAAGCATCTTGTTAAACCACTTATGTATTTCAAAATAAGTGCATTTCTATGCATATCATAAAAATATATTGAGAGTGAAAGCCTCACAACTCTAACAGTAATTTAACAAAGTAGATCTAAAAGATAAGCTTTGTCAATCAGTATTATCAGTAGGCCAAACATCTAACATTAAATTATATATTTATACAGTTTAATTTAATGAGTAATTGATACTATGGTACAGGCTGAATTCTGATGACAGTGTTTTTTTTCTTAAGTCATGAAAGCCAAGAACTTTTTGTAAGATTATTTTCAATTAAATACATTTGGTAACAAATACAACCAAAGAAAGAATATTCAAATAAGAATTTACTTACTCCATTAGTAAACTATTAATGTAATCATTTCCATCCATATGGCCAAACTGGAAATCCCTGAAAGAGAAGCAATTAAAAATAAAATTATGAAAAAGAAAACAATAGCGGGTTTCAGCAGAAGTTCTTTATTAAATATTTTTCCTATAACTGAAAATGAGAGCACACAGAAATGTAATTCAGAAAAAGTGATGATCTAGAACACAGCATTATGAAACACAGTCAGTTAATGAAATGGTCCTATTAAATATCAGTATAAAAATATAAAAGCATACACTGTAACATTTTTCACTTAGAAAAAAGAAGTGATTGATGTCTTAGAAAGACTAATGCACAAGACCAATTTAAACATCAGAGTCCCATGTGCATCTACCTGTGAAAGTGATCCCGATAATCTCTGGCAACTTCCTGAATAATAGACTTTAATCTGAAAGGAAAAAAATGGCATGGATATCCAGGATAAATTCCTTCTAAATACAAACAATAAACACTGAGATTTCCCCAGTAAGCAGCAATTCATACCTCATCAGCAACAAGGACTATCAAAAAAACATCTTGTTCATCTTGCTTAGTTCCTAAAGGTTGAAAATAGCATACACAGTACTTGAACAGTATTTTTTTAGCCTGTATATGCAACAGAACGGGACGAGGGAAGCCTCTCAGCCTCTTTGGCAAACTCCAACCCCAGCAAAAACATCCCCTTGTTTAAAGTGCCACAGACAACTAATATATAAGCATCGCTTAATTTTCAACGTGAGTGAACTGAAGTACAGTCATTTGTTTAAACTCACTGAGTTCATCTCAAAGTCATCTGAACTCAAGCACTTTTGTCTTTGTTTAGAAGGTGACACAATAGCTTTTAAAAGCTATGAGATCACCATTTGCTCCTGTGATCCCATTAACGAATGGCAAAAAAGTGATACAGGAACTCCCACCATCTCAGTGAACTCACATGTGCTTTCAACCAAGCCATAAATTAAGTAAAGCTAGTACACTAAGTCAGAACACTTACAAGTTAAACCCATTTATTTAACCTATATTTCTCAATATTTAAGAAACTTCCAAACTTCCCTATGTCATACCAGCACATTTCTCCCATAGTGTCACCAATACTCAATTCTGTACCTGGTATGCTCCACTGAAGAGTTTTTATCATCAATGACTGCAATAGCCACAAGTTTTCCTAAAATAAGGAATAAAAATTCTTGAAACCATTTAAAAAGAAACACACATTCTCTAATGGGAAATATGTCAACTTAGAAGATCAGGTACTCTCCACAGACAGGAATTAGTTTATAAGTATAAACAAGCCTCACAGCCAAAGAGCCTCTTCAAGCTGACCAAGCTGTGGTCTTGTAGCTACTGAAAATAAATTAAGATGGGGCTTAATGGCACATCACTAGCATTGCATGAAAAGCCTATCTATAGAAAGAAGTTAACAGAGAGAAAATGCAGATAAAAATTAATTTTCTTCTCAAGCTGCATATTTACATATACCTAAATATGAGGCTATGGAGACCTGCATTACATAGCAGCAATTACAAACTGATTCTAATTGATTAAATCACTATTGTATGGATTTAATAACAACTATTTTTCATATTGTTATGAGCATTATGAAAAAAAAAAAAGGAAAATTTACTGGCAGAGCCCAGAATTCCTGATATCAGAAACACAATTTAGTTCACAGACCTCTGTCAGAGGAGCTTAAAGGTCAACACTAGAACATACCAATCTCTTCCAAGATTTACTTTGTGAAGTTTTCTGATTAAAAGGAACAAAAAACCTCCAATCCCAAAGAATGCTATCAATCAGATATAAGTATGTTTAAAAAGCTTCTCCAGATCAAGCCCTTGCAGTTAGGAAAGCAGACTGTTAACAGTGCAGTCAGTCATCAACCAGATTAACTCAAGGCTCCAGAGGGCTCATTTTTCAGTTCTCTCCAGATGCCACAATTCACTCAAAACCCTCCCCATCAAGACAACCAATTGTTCAATTCCTACCTATCACCATGCCATGGGAAGCATTCTCCTCAAAAATAAAAAGTCACTCTTGTTCAAGTAATACTGTTGGGTTTTATGGGCAAGACCTATGATTCATTCCCATACTTCCTTTTGAAATAGCAGTAGCTTCTCCCCATTCCACTTCTTCCATACATAATTTCTCATTTTTTCCCTATTTCTTTCCACCCTAAGATGCTACCTAATAAATATGGTAGACAACTAATGACCTTTAAGACTATAAAAGATGATGTAAATAAATTCCAGGTACTATGTATTAATACATAAAGGTCTTTAAAAGTAAATGATGGCTTCTCCCGTGTATTAATAAAGCTTTGTTGTTTTTTTGGGGTTTATGGGCAAGACCTATGATTCATTCCCATACTTCCTTTTGAAATAGCAGTAGCTTCTCCCCATTCCACTTCTTCCATACATAATTTCTCATTTTTTCCCTATTTCTTTCCACCCTAAGATGCTACCTAATAAATATGGTAGACAACTAATGACCTTTAAGACTATAAAAGATTATGTAAATAAATTCCAGGTACTATGTATTAATACATAAAGGTCTTTAAAAGTAAATGATGGCTTCTCCTGTGTATTAATAAAGCTTTGTTGTTTTTTTTGGTTATTTGAGGAATTGTTAAGACAAAAACGTAACAAGAAGAAATACGCTATATTTCAGCATTTCTGTAAATAACCATTTAAAATGTAGGTGTAACAATATTAGCTTCATAAGCATGTAAGAAAACCTAAAAAAAACCTCAGTGTTGATTGAATGCAAGTATTTTGAAATGCAATATAGATGATAAGATGTCCTGGCCTGGAAAAGTCAACACCTACAGTATTTCTGCTGGTACCTCAAGAGTATGTATATACCTTAGGAGCAGTACAAGTCATGTGCCTTTTCCCGAGGTCACCTGGCTACAAAATTTTCATTTGGCCTGCAGAACTTTTGCTAAAGAAAAGCTGAAGTCTTCTGGGACAAGTCCACTTCAATACATGCTCCTCTCCTTTTCTTGCCACATCTATTTCAAAGATATCTAAATCCACTAGATACAAGATATCTGGATAATCCATATTTGATACTTCTAAATCTAGTTTTAAAATTCCCTGCATGTATTCCAAGAGGTAATATGCAACTTATGCAAAATGTAAGATGCTCTTAAAAGTCCTACTAATTTTTGTGATTACCACAGGATTAGACACACTAACTTTTATGTTGTGAGGAATGGACTAGTGTAGACTCTGTATGAAACCTCTAGTCCCAGGTCAGTCCAACATCAAAAAAATACTGCCACTATCAGCTCTAACCTGATATTGATTAACTTCTAAAGTTTAAAAACATATTCTTAGTACTCTTTTGACTTTTCTCACTGTTTAGTACACAGTGTCAAAGGGTTTAGCAGCAGCATCTCACCTGTATCTCCAAGTTCATACAGTGTAAAGCCATCGACATGAAGGTAACCTTGAAATCTTTCTCTGTTTATCCAGGATGACAAATCACCATCTTCATACTCTGACATTAAAAAAAAAAAAGAAGAAAAGATTACATTTTTTTAAGAGGTGGGTCATCAGATTTACTATTTCAGTACTATTGAGGCAACCACTAATTTTTCTCCCTTTTTCCTTTTACTCTTGCTACATCAATTATCATAATTTTATGGGCATTTTAAGTTTTAAAACTTCTAAAGCTATTTTCAGTTGCTGAACAAAAAAACATATTAAAGTGTGAGAAGTTGACTTGATGATTTTATTTTCCAAATCAAGGATAAATGATATATTAGAAGCTAACTGTGACCCAGTGCAGAAAGTAACAGGTTTAAACCCTGCTTTTAAAGGGGTGTGTGTACATAATTTGTCAAGTTTCAAACAAAGCAGATACAAAAATACAGAAAGCAGTATTTTTGAGAGTCCTTAAATGAAACAGAAAGATCAAGAAAAAGCAGATGCATTAAACAGCACTGTGAATGTAAATGAACAAATAATCATGTATGACTGACAATCTACTGAAGGCTAGTTTAAGATCCTAGATGTTTTAATCTATTAAGAATTAAATTATAATACATACCATCAATTAGATCTAAATCACAAGTAAAAAAGCAAAAACATATATACATATATGCTGCATTTTATGTGAACAAATGCACAATAAATAATTTGTTTTAAATTCTATCATAAAGACTCAAGTATCATAATTTCAGCTTAACAATTATCTGCCATAAGGTAGTAGCAAACAATTCCAAGCATAACGCATCCTATGGATCTGCATCCATTTCCTCTACTACGGAGAAGGAAAAAATCCAAACCAAAACAAGACAAAGATCAGAGCACTGAAGTGCATTTTGCTATAACTTTTTCCCTATAGTGAACTCTTCATAGTTCTGCCAGTTGTAACAGCTGCACATAAAAACTTATTCAGTCTCTTAAACTGCCTTTTCATGATTTGTTTGACTTCCAATAACGTTTCTGGTACATTACAAAAAAGTAAAATTTTTACAAAGTAAATTAAAAGCCTGAATTATTACAGTTTTTGCATTTGTTTTAGAAGGTGTGGGAAAAACAAGCAGGCCACACAGCAAAATGAGTGTTTCTTTGACAAGCTTTCCTTCTCCTGAATTGCTAAAAGAGATCAAAAAATTAAATGCAAATCATGGGGCTGTAGGGTGAATTTTTATCTGGAGGCAATAAACTGAAGAGGAAGACAAGTACATCCATTCTACGAGGTCACAAAGAATACTCTTGGTGACCAACCTATTTTGCTGTGCTGTACTATTACTTATCCTCAGAAAATAAACCTGCAGAATAATCGTCTGAGTGATATGTTTTCAACTAAATAGGAAAACTTACATTTGAAACAATCTGAATCAAGAGTAGATGCTTTTGAAAAGAAGTGGTGCGCTCACAAGCCCAGGCTATGCAATGTATCTATGAGTACATCTGTGTGCTTCTAACATACATTATGGTGCAATCTGAGTACAATAAAATACTTCCATATGGATATGCACCCATATAGACAGAAATACACTTTTACAGCAGTGGCAGGTGAACTGCCCTTCTGTACTGCATATATACACATATGTAGAAACAGCAGTGCAATAAAACACTACTAGTTTCAGGTGGCCTTTCTACAGCCTACACTGCCACAGCCTAGCCTGAACAAGCTAGGTAGTCTATGTATATGATGAATTTGTACAGTCAGAGAAGAAGCAACTTTTCTCAATAAGTTAATGCAGTCAAAACTGTAATATTGGAAGCTACATCTTACTGAAAACACAAAGGAAACATCACCACTTCTACTTTAGACTGCTAAACAAAATTCCTTCTATTTTGTTGCGGAAGAACTAGTAATTTTCTTACCTTTTTCTTCACAAAGGAGCTGCTATTTATCCTAAGACTGGGGAATTTCCCAGCATCCCTACATACTCTTCAAAAAATCCCAACTCCTCCAGCTTCTCCATATATGCTTTAAATATTGTAAGGTAATGTCCACTTTTACTTACCATCATAAACAAAGTAAGTTCCATCTTTGAAGACCATAACTGCAGGCAATTCAGGCAACGTCACATACTGAAAGAGTCAGGTTTCAATTAATACAAGGAAAATTAAAAGATTTTTAAACAAAAAAAAACATCTGAAAACATGTAAATGTAGTTCATGGGGAAAATCTCTAAGGACACCTAAATATTTCCTGTCTACATGTACAAAGATAAATTCATCAGCTTTTGTATATTAAAAGTAACTAAACATAAATATATTTTTAAGCAGTAGATTTCACAACACATTAAAAAAAACCCATGATTTTTACTGGTATCTGCAGTAGCACAAAGAATAGTTTATAGATTGGACATGGACTTTAGATAGGAAATTGTAACTTGAGGGTTTTATCAATCATGCTCTCAGTCCCCATTTGTGCTGTTGTCAGAATACCTGTCATACTGCTACTTCTACTAAATGGACACTCAATTTTGCAGAGTAAAATAGTACCACCAGTAACATGTGCCACTACATCTGGGCTATTTCCTGTGCTTCAGACTGATGGGCATATAAAGCAACAGCTTCAGCACACAGGGCTGCAAACAGACCTAATTTAGACAAATAACAAAAGCCTGTATTACCATGCTGAATGTAATATTTGCAACAGTCAGCAACATACTAAAAACAAGCTGTAGAACCTTTCTTCTTAGAACTCAAAACAATTTTATTCAGCTCATGTTTTTAGTGAATTGTCACAGACAAAACAAATACTGCATCTACTTCTTACAGTTTGCTACCATTCAAAGCTAAAATTTTAATAGCATTTGTGTTTAGAAAGAACTGCATCATAAGCTTAATTTTGATCATGTAATCTGAATTGTCTGATTTACTGATGTTTTGGAAAGGTAAAGGACAGCATCAGTTCCAAATGACATGCCTTTTATCATTCTGCATTAACTTTCTTGTAAAAGCAGTAATTTATAATAGACTAGCTGAACAATCAAGAAGGTAGTCCCAGATGATGCTTTGTTCTCTCACTTGCCCAAAACATAATTTAACATAGTTGAAGGACAAATTAATCTGTGTACAGCTTAAAGCTTGCAAGAGATGCCTAAAGCTTGGAATAATATTACCTAAGGTGATGAAACAAAGCCTAACAGTGAACATCATAATGCAAAGGCTCATTACAACTCATGACCACAAATTTCTGAACATTTTTGCTTCTCTCCATAGAATACTGAATACCATCACTACTTCAGCTTAAATGACTGGTGGGAAATGACCTTCTACAAGAAAAAAAAGCTCACTGCTTATATCAGTGTGATCACAGAACCTCAAAGACTTCCAGCCTTTTTTACTCTTTCCACTGCATAACTGAACAGTACTTTTCTTGCTCAGCTGGAGCTGAAGTGCAAACAGCAGTATTTAAATTAAGGTAGCTTTATACCAGGCTTCTGGATAACTAACAATACACTATTTATAATGAGGCCAGTTCTACTTATGGTGTTATAAAATGCAGCTGCCTTAAAAAAAACCAAACCAAACCAACAAATCAAATTGCTAGTTCTTACCCCATTCATCACCAACTAACTTCAAAGTCACATGTTAGTAGGCATGGAGGGGACTTAGGTCCCACTTGGAGATAACAATAAATAAAAAAGTCTTTTGATTTTGCTACAGCAAGTAAGCAACACTGGTTACTTGTACACCACAGTAATATCAAATTTTTTCCACCCTTGTGATGAACTGTAAGTAATTTCCTTATCCCAGAATCCTCAAAAAAAAGCCACAAGAGAATTCTGCAGCCAGTGGACTGGATTGGCTGATCCCCAGGCAGATAAATGTGTTATCAGCTGTACTGTACGAGATGAAAATAACCTACCTCTTCACTTACTTCTGATTACTAAGGTACCAGCAGTAATTCATGCTACAAAGCTCCTAATTAGTAAGTATCTACTTTCTTGAGCAAGTTCTGTGGCCCACATTGAGTTCTGCTCATCCTCTGATTAATTTTATTAATATGACTGAACAAGTATTTTGGCCAAAACAAAGCAATGACAGACTGAAATTTGGGTTGTATTTTTTCCCTATATAGAGTCAAACATTACATGTTTCAGTGTAATTACTCAGATATCTACCAAAGCCAAACATACTGTAAGAAGCCACCTCTGTGCCATCAAAACTGCAAAATTACATAGATGAGGAAAAACATCCCATTTCTGGGGAAGCAGTAGGAATGGAAACAGCTTACCTCAGGCAGCACATCTTCCGAGGCAGAAAAAAAGTATGTATAAACTATTAGTTCTGAAGCAACCTCAATGTATTTTTCCTGAAAAAATACAAATAATGTTTTTTTAATTTCTGAACTTTTAGTATGTGTCAAACAAAAGCTTTGTCACATACCTTATCTTCAAAGAGCAATTTAAAAACATGTTTATGGCATTAGATTGTAAAAGCACTTTAATAAACATAAAAAACCCAAGAATTTGTTACAAGCATGCACTTCAGTCTTTTGAAAGATTTTTAAAATTACTCCCTAAATAGCCAAAAGAAGTAACTTTATTTAATTGAGCTTCAAACCTTTAAAGGAGATTCACCACCAACATACACAAAAAGTACACGATGTCTCTTTTGCACATGCTCAAACATATGCTGGCTAGGAAGTGGCCTGATGAGAGGTCTGGGAAGAGAAACAAAGACATAGAAAAATCTCAGCTTGTGCAACCTGCAAAACCCAAACAAATAAAAATTCACAAGAAAATGTCATACAGTTTTTTGTGCTGTTTTTCAAAAAATAAATTCCAAAATACAAATTAATTTAGTTTTTCAAGTTATTATTGAAAAAGAAAAAACAACATTCTCCCCTCCCCCCACCAAATAACATGTTACGTTCATCACATAGAACATTTAACTATGAAATTCGGATCCTACTACAAAATGCTGCTACAATGTAAACATGCATGCCTTTTACTGGTCACAGAATCAGTCTGGGCTAGACTGGAAGGGACCTTAAAGATCATGTGGTCCAACCCTGCCACCATAAGGAGGAACAGTTTTCACCAGATCAGATTCCTCACAGCTCCACTCAAACTAGCCTTGAACACTTCCAGAGATGGGGCATCCAAAACTTCTCTGGCCAACTGGTTCCAGTATCTTACCACCCTCACAGCAGAGAATTTCTTCCTAATATTTTTTCTAAACCTATCCTCTTTCTGTTGAAAATCATTTCCCCTTATCCTGTCAGTACAGAACTTGATAAAAACTCTGTGTCTTTCTTAGGAGATGTCTTTTTACAGTGGAAGGCCACAATAAAGTCTTCATTGTTTGAGAGAGAATTCTGAATGTAAGCACAACAACCAAGAAATGTGGCCTCAAAAATAAATAATCTTAACTCAGCACCAGTCTCCCATGCAGCCACACACATAGTACATATAGTTTTTTACTTCAGTATCTTGTTCTTTTTAACTAAGTCTTAGCCCACCTCAAAGTCCCACATAAGTCTGAAGTCAGCAGAACCAGTCTCTGAGAAGAGTGTACTTACCCTGCCACTCTATTAGCAAATTCAATTATATCATCTTTGGTTCTTGGTCCTCTGTAGTTGTATGCCAAGTCTCCTTTCAAGCTAGATAAATAGACAAAAAAAGAACAAAAAAGCAATCATCTAAACTACATTTGTATTAAGCTGCAGTGAAGTGCTGGTCAGCTTATGATAGTCTGCTGAGAGAGGATGTAGCATGCTTGCACTGGCAAAGGATTCATGCAAGTTTTACTAATTCTAAAAGGCTTTCTTTGAATCCATAGAGGTTTAGGAATTTCAGAGGAATTTTCAATACCTCTATATGGCATGAAAATTTTCATCCTTAAAGATTATCAAACTGAACATCTCTGCTTCCTTTTTGAGAAAACTAACTCGACAAGATTTATTATCACCTATTAGGAATACTGTTTGCTTAAACAATAACCTGCTAAAATCCGTAGTATTCCACAGTAAAAAGTACTCAGAACCACTGAGTCTTCATTTAAGATGACACTGTACTGGATTACACATTACATGGGTTTGAGAATTCTAAATGGACAGGGCTATTTTTAATTTTTTGTCATGAGACCATTAAAGGAAATTAAATAGGAAGGATCAACTTACAGCTTAATTGTTGGATAGCCTCGCACTCCAAATTCAGATGCAATACCTGAAAGAAATGAGTTCATGCCAAAGTGAACCAAGACTTTTTTTCTCTCCTACCTTAATCTTTAAACATGTTTTACCATTCAAGCCACACAAACAAATGGAAACAAAATACCACTTAGCTCAATATGGATTACTTTACTAGCTTACAAGGAAAAGCTTGCTGTTATTAAGCTACATCATTAAATTTTGGACTTCTTTCAGAGGTGCTGCAGGGTGCCAGGATAGCCTCCCAATTCATGTGCCACAACTCAAACGTCATAAGAATCCCCTGGATAGACATGCTTGGTCTGCTTTAACCAAAAGTAGCATGCATTGAATATGCACATACAATTGACAGAAAACATAGGAGGCAAAAATTAAGCATTGAGGATGAAGAGCTACAAATACTAATGCTTGAAAGAAGCAGAAGACAATTAACTACTTAAGTGCTAGAGTAATGGCTAACGAGAAGTGCAGTATCATACTACAGTTACTACAAAAAATCATATTCCACACAAGTAAATGTCTACTATCATGAACCTTACCAGAAGCAGGCAGTTTCTAAGCAGATACTTACCTGCTGCTTACTGAAGTGGTTAAAAGTAAGACAACTGCAGAACTTTTTCCCTCACCTCAGATCTTTTTAAAAACTTCTATCTTGCTTCCACCAAGCAAGACAGGAGTATAATTTGCAACCACCCTTCCACTTGTGAACATAGCAACAGCCACCTTAAACTATACTTTCCAGCAAATTCAGTTTTTTCCAAAAATTAAACTACACAGTCTCAAAAAAGGATTAAATAAGTCTAAAATTGTGGCAATACTTGTGCAATTCCCTGTTGAGTAACAATGCCTGCACTCAGAAAGCACCTAGAATCAATGCTTTTTGCAAAACCATTCCGGAGCTACCAACAACGTGCCACAGCAAGCAGATGTCAGATGACTTGTGTGCAAAGAGTTTAGAAAATGACCCTAAGGTTGTTCACCTGGATCAGGTGCAAGTACCTTATTGCACAGCACTACAAATAAAACTAGCAGCTCACCTACAGGCATCTAATCAAAGACAGCTGACAACATCATTACCTCTACTTCTTGATATAAAGAATGCAATAGAGGCAAACAGCAGCAATTGTGCCAGCCCTAGGTGTGATGTGTTTCTACTCTGCTCACACACAGTGGACTCCTGAGGCTAAACCCCTGAAAATCCAACTGATACCGTAGCAGGTGACTGCTCTGTTGATGCAAGAGCTGTATCCCCATTCCACAGAGCCATCAGGCAACATTTATTGGATGATTTATATGTTCACCTGTGATCTCAGCTCTCTGACAACAAGCTTCCCAAAGTTCAGCTCTTTCACACTATTTAATATTCTTATTATAAACACAAAACATGCAAAGCAAACCACTCATGTTCCTTCCTAGTGACATGTAGACATTACAGCTGCATCTCCTTCTGATATTTTCAAGACTGAACTACTTTGATTTCAGAGACTATTTAGATTGCAAAGGTACTAAGCAGAGTCTTTTTCATATTCAGATGTAAAATTTCCACTTTCAAATGAAAGCATAAAGCTATTTCAGAAGATTTATCAGAAACTATGAAACCAGTAGCATATCTGAGAAGAAAAACTTTTCCAGGGCACAAAGGAACACTTGCAGATTTTAGTGATTTTTATATAACTAAAAATTAATTATACAAAAAAAACATAGTACCAATTCTGTTCTAGATATAAAGCACAAGATTTCAGTAACCGGCTGACAAATACAAATATTTCGGGGTAAGACTTTATACAATTTATATGATTTAGAATTTTATATACATGACTGGAAAGTTAGAGAACCATGAAATGTGTTCCCAGTTTTGAAGTTACCTGGTTCCATAAACTTGAAATTTCTAATTCTCCAGATTTATTTTTTTATAGAAAATAAATATCTTTAAGATGAAACATGAAGTCATATTTATTTGGTTTTATAGAAAAACATATACAATAAATTGGTCTTTGAGACAAAAATAATTTTAATTTCAAAAGACTGAACTCTCCTATATCTAAGAATAGGAAAAACTGGAACACCAGTGAGAAAAGTATTCTGCATAACATTTTAGGCAAATACAACAAACCTGAATAATCCAATTTAATGGATATTAACAAAAAACACTACATATATTTACAAAGTTTTATTACATGCAGACCTCATTTGGGCCCCACTCCTCCCTACACCTTCTCTTTTAAATATCCTCCTGGTTCAACATAGATTTAAGCACATTGACAATAAAGAAGCACACAAACACAAAGGAAGTAGTGTTAAGTATTCAACAATCCTCTCACGTCCTCCAAACCACTTCTCTGAGTAATGAAGGGGTTTTCTCTGAAAAGGTTGATACATGTGAAAGGCATCAGCAAACGAAACAGCACTGAAAGCACTGAATTTGGTTCTTTGAGAAGACATTTACAGGGAAACATGGAAAGAAATCGGCTGAGCAGTGATCACTGATGCAATGAATTCAGATATTTCAGCAGGCTTTGTGTAAGAGTTGCAGGACCGATTACCTGAAATGAGTAAGAGCAAGAACACGGGCACTCCTCCAGCAGTAATAGAAGGAACCTAAAACTGGATGCTCTCCAGAGACACACCACATAAAAATGCTTATATAACAGTACTCTTAGAGGCATATCAAATGCAGATCTTTGAGAAGCTTTTACCTTCCATTTGCCAGGAAGAATTCCCTACTCAAGCAGAAACAAATGTGATAAAAAGCATATACTACACAAAATTGTCACTTTCAGAAAGAACAATAATCACGACTTTTTTTTACAATTACTGTTTGCATATTTGTGCTATGACACAGAAGAACAACTACGAGAAAAAAAAATAATAGTTTCAAAACAGAAGCTGTGATGAAGTTACCCCTAACCAAACCATACTTACTAGAAAAGGAAGTTGCATCCATCTTCCCAACTTTTACTGGAGAACCCATGTTTCTCATTTCTATGCCCACTTCATTCCACACAGGTTCCAGTTTCTTACAGTGGCCACACCAAGGTGCATAAAACTGAGAAGCAAATACATTTCACAAAAAAAAAAAATTAGTAGAAATTGTTTCTACAATTAACCCTCAGCAAGATTTATTTTCCAGTCATGGTACTCCTTATCTCTTAATAAAATTGCAAGTTAGTTACAAGGTTAGCATGACAAGCAGCATTTATGATTTAGTCCTACTTTTAATATGAAAGCACAAGTTTGAAAAGAATACATTAAATTGCTGCACTATTATATGATTTCTTATTTAGGAATAGACTGCATGGTAACTTTATTTTTGAATGTTAAAAGATCATATAAGCAATCTATCCAGGAACATGAATTCATCAACAGGCAGAAGATATCAATGTTTTGGTATAACAAGATAAGGTCACAATTTAAAAAAAGTTGGATTTTGTTTTGCTATACATTGCTGATAACTCCAAAGTAGCTCGTATATTTTTTCCCACTCAAAAATCACTAATCTGAGTAATAAAATTTTGAGAATTACAGTACATATTTGGGTGAGAAAAGAAATGTTACCTCATTCACAAGCAAACAATCTTTCTAAAAAAACTGTTTGTCACTGAAATAAGGGGCACTGAATCTTTCCAAATAATTTAGAAAAGTAAAAGGGGTCTCATATATTTCATCTTTCAGTACTAACAGACATCTAGAACACAAATCAGCTGATATAATTAATTAAAGGAACTATAAAAAACTGAATCTTTCCAAATAATTTAGAAAAGTAAAAGAGGTCTCATATATTTCGTCTAACTACTAACAGACATCTAGAACACAAATCAGCTGATATAATTAATTAAAGGAACTATAAAAATTCTCAACAGAGAGTATCACTTCCTGAGTGTGTTAGGCAATCTGCTTTCCATTTTAAAGGACTGCAAAACATAGACTGAAGCCTATTCAGCAGGCCATTCAGCAGTCTATTCAGCCTATGCCTGGTTCATCCTGAACAGCAGACAGATTGCTTATCTGTTCTGTCAGAATTTCTGTCATGAAGCTTTTCTGCATCATGTACAAACAATTTTCCAAGCGATGAAGCAGCCTGACTACAGGGTGTAGCATTGTGCATTCTGTCTTTTGATTTCCACTAGCACAGCTTCCTGTTTTTCTTACATACTCACATCTACAAGCCAGATATCATCTTTACGGTTTTCTTTAAACCTGGAAAAGGGAAAAAATGAAAGCAATAAGTTATGTATCTGAAAATAAAGTAGTGAAATGCATGTGTGAAAAACAAAAAGTCTACAACAAGGTTAATATAAAGCTATAGATACAAGATAACTGGTTTGTTTCTTTCTTTGAGGGTGGAGAAACAGAGGAGATGTTATATTAAATGTATTTGTTGTTGTATTTTTATATACCAATTAATACAGACTCTTTGAGCATTGGTTTAAACTGTTAATCTTAGCTTTAATACACGCAAACTAACTAAGTTATCTTTAATATTAACATGTAAAGCAATTTTAGTTCAACGTCCTTTAACATTCTACTGTAGGTGTGTCAGTTTATAGTTTTATTAAAGTGCACACAACCAAGAAACCAACTTAATGGAATAAAAATTATCAAGTTACTCATAAAACCCAGAGATACACAGATACTACTGAATTTTCTTAAATGCTAGACAAATAATATTTATATTTACTGAAGGTTTTATTAATTCTAAATCTGTCACTAAATTCTAAAGTCACTAATATAAAACTAAGCTTGATAAATTAAAGTTCTTTATTATCTCCCGAAATGCTGCTTACATATTTCACTGCTGTCAATACAAGATCATATGAACTACTGCATTAGTTAACTAGCTCTGTGTATAGAATTAGCTAGAACTTTAACCTAAGATTTATATTTGTAAAAGACAAGACTTCCTAAGTGACTAGGACTGGGACTAAAGTGACAAACTGTAACATACATGATACAAAATTTCTACTGCACCACTCCTCCTACAAAATGAGATAGTTACTACAATTATGCAGTAAGCATGGATCTACGCTCTAAGATCCAATTAATACAAGTTATAGCCTAACTTGTCAGTTCCCAATATGCAGCATGCCTATAAATGGCCCATAAGCAGTAGACAGAATTCATTATATTTCATTTAAAGATTAATCTGTAATAGTTCATAATGGTCTTGAAGAAATACTAATGCTGATGTTGGCTTAATGTTTGACAGAAATAATTCAGAAATCATGAATACAATCTAATTACAGTGCTGAGTGTTTGAAACTCAGAATAGTAGCATTTCACTGGTAAACTCCAGCCTATTTTATTGATGGCATACCAAGGCTGCTCTGCCTGTACAGCAGCAGGAAAGGTATTTGCAGAGACTATGCTATGGAACTGCTAAAGAAAAGCAGCATTTTTAAGTCACAGACTTGCTTAGTTGACAACCTCACTGAAAATTTACTCCACCACCGTAAGCACTATGGAGCTAATGAAAGAACCAGTAAGAGGCCAGCATCTCCTGAGAACTCTAACAGAGCTACAGCTAACTTCCAATTACAATGCCAAATAATTGGCTATGATGCAAGAGGCAGAAAGCAGTTACTGAATCATAAGACCTTAGGCTGTGCTTCAATTTAGAATCACTTTTTCTTTGTGTAAGAATTTACAATTAAATGTTCTCCTTTCTCTGCCACAGTACAATTGTTATGGCAAATTGTAAAGAACATTTAAGTACTGAGAAAGGTAGACTGCAACCTTGCCAGCACACAGAAAGAAAAGAGAAAGAATGAAACATCTGGAGACTGAGCTTTCCAACAGAGTTTAATACTGTATAAAAAATACTGTACTTTTTATAGCAATAAATTTCAAACTTCTCATCTACAAGCACGTATTTAATCAACTTCCACAGAAACTAAAATCTGAAGTGTAACAAAACCCTGCCATCAAAACTCACTCTAGTTTTGCTAACATCAATGATTAAATTACTAGACAATATTAAAGAAACTCACTTTCACACTGCTGAAGAAAAACAGAAATCTCTCTACAAATGAGCAGTGAAGTATTTTCTGAAGATGCTGTTTCTAGGCCCTATAAATACATTTTCCAGGCACAAAATTTCAGTGTCTCTTTTTAACTGTTTCTGTGCAAGCCTCTGTCAGCTGACAGAAACACAATCACAATGATGGAAAAATGGCATAAGTGTTGCACAGACATTTTCCAGGCACAAAATTTCAGTGTCTCTTTTTAACTGTTCTCTGCAAGCCTCTGTCATTTGACAGAAACACAATCACACTGGAAAGATGGCGTAAGTGTTGCACACCCTTGAATCAAAATTATTTGTCTCAAACCCATGCATGTTCCCAGCTACATGATCAAATGTAGCTCCCACTTAAACCAAGCACCACACTTAATCATGAACAGTTAAAAGAAACCAGCACGCAGCAGAACTGAACACCAAGGTCACAGTTCCAAGGGCCTTAAAAACACCCAGCTACTGTATCTGTTCTTTGCTTTCCCCTTGCACAATTTCTGATGCTTCTGATCCTGGTTTGAGCCACCCCACAGATAAAAAACCACTTCCTTTTTAAGTCAGGTTACTTATCTGCTTCATTATCACACTAGAGCAAGTCCACACCCATCACAAGAGGAGTACTGAGGTGAGGCAGCAGATCTGCTATCAGAGCAGCACAAGCCAAGAGGAACCACAGCTGGTTTTGTGCATCCCTCCTGCAGCCCAGCTGGGCACTTCTGTCAGCTCTGCTCTGCCACTTGTTTTCATATATCCTGAAAGCTTAGGAAGGGGACCTGCACCTTGTACTAGTCCACATTGTTTACTGCTACTAAAATTCAAAGAGAACACGAATCTTTCAGCAACAGCAGAATGTCCATAACATTTTGGTATCTATAAATGGAAAACTTTAAACTTCACCAGTCACTGCTCCTCAGTTTGGAGCAAAATTAAACTAAAATTTAAATTATTTAAATTAAATTTTAATTTCCATTAAATTTGTTTTCCTGACCTCTCTCACCACCTGCCAATTAGCTACAAAAAATTCAAAAAACCCCCCACAAAACCTGCCCTGAAAAATTCTTCCATTCTTCTTCTCAATTGCAAACACATGCATCTGTATAGTTCCGTAACTGAAAAATTCAAGTGTTCTAAAATAAGATTTCCTTTTATCACTTACTTTAAAAAGTTATGGGACAACAGAATCATAATTCTTCATGCCAAAACAGTGAATATATTTAAATACACACACGTGGAAACACGATATGGGAACATGATGTAGAAGCACAGATAGGCTAAGAGTCCTCAGTCCTTGAAAATATGAGCATGTTTTAAAAACAAGCTTTGAAAATCTAGTCCAAACAGTTCCCATGCTTCAGTTGTTTTTTCACAACACCAGAGACACTGCTGTGTGTCTCCTGAGAACTCCTTCCATATGTTCCTATCCCCTCACCCATAAAATCACTATGCTTCATCTGATCTTATAAATAACAAGCAATATTGTAAAAATGTGAGTGGTTTCCTGACAGTTTAGCTCCTTGATGTAATTTATTGTGGATTGAGCCCTCATGAAAACAGTGGCTGAATTTATCCCAAAGCAGTCATCTAATGCCAACTTCTCCTCCCCTACCAGTCATACCTTCTCTTTCCATTCATGTTGCTTTTTAGCACTTGATATCAACCTGCTAATCTGACCAAAAAAAACCCCAAAAAACATTTGGATAATTTTTTTGGGAAACAGCAAATATGTAGCTACCAAACTGCTACAGCAAACCAGTACACCAACAATGACCATACACAACCAAGTTCATGGCAGGACTAGCCACTTCAACTCCGGCACAGTCTTGGGACTAATTCTGTTATAAAGGCACATTTTTACACAATTATTACTGGAACTTCAAGCAGCCATGAACTAGTCCTGCAGCCTCCTTCTCTTCCGTTTCTGGCCACGCATGAACACACTTAGACTCATTTTCCCAACCCCTGGTGGCAGCCATGCCGCAAACTCTAATGAATAACTTGGTTAAATACAATCAGCTTTTCCTTGGGGCAAGCACCAACACACCAACGTATTTACCCTACCAGAAAGAAAGAACAAGCAAGGAAACCTAAGAGCATTTCTGGCAACACAACCACAGTAACCACTACAGCTTTAAAGGAGCTGAAAAATTAAAATGTTCCTCAGCTTCATTAACTGAACCTCCTGAATAGGTGAGACTGAGGAGAGACCTCATGGGGGTCTACAAACTCCTCATGAGAGGAAGCAGAGGTGCAGTAACTGATCTCTTCTCTCTGGTGGCAGGAAGCTGTGTTGGTAGGTTTCGGTTGGATATCAGGAAAATGTTTTACACACAGCCGGTGCTTAGGCTCTGGAACAGGCTCCCCAGGGAAATGGTCACAGCACCAAGCCCAGCAGAGCTCAAGAAGGGTTTGGACAACACTCTCAAGCACATGGTGTGACTTTTTGGGAGTCCTACTCAGGAACAGGAATTGTACTTCAGTGATCCTTTTGGGGCCCTTCCAACAGAGAATAATCTGTGATATTCCAAGCCACAACCTTTCTGTCCTTCCTGCTACAAAAATCACAATCTTTTCCAGTGTAGCTTTCTCGACAAGAGCACAGAGTATGCACAAAGTCGGGGGTCATGCTCCCCACAAGACAAACAATATCTGGGCAATTAGGCAATACACCCCAATACTTACGACTCATCTAGATCCTCCACAAAACCCGCACCTGACGCCACCACATGTGCAACCACTGCGGGGGAAAGGAAAAGCGCTCCGTGAGTGATGCCCGAACCAACCCGGGCGCTCATCCGCGCCAGCTGACAGCCTCCCTTCCCTCCTGGCCCCTCACACCCCCAAGCGCTTCCCGACACTGCTGCCTGCCCCAGCGCTGCCCGCCTCCCAACCCGCGGTGCCCTGCAGCCCAGCCCGGCGGAGCCGGCACCCCCTGCCCGTCACCTGCCGCCCAGAGGAGGCAGCGCGGCCGCCCGCCCGGCGCCGCTGCCATGTTGACAGAGCCGCGGCACGGCCGGAAGGGGAAGCGCCGACCTCTGCCCATGGCGCAGGCGCGGAGCCGCGGGCGGCGGGGCGGGCTGTGGCGGGTGCGGGGTGCTCGCCGTGCTGAAGGGGGCCGGGGAGGCGAGGGGGGGACAAGCGTGGCACCGCGGCACGGTGACGGAACGCGGGGTGCATAGACTCTGTCATCTCCCCAGCGGGGAGACTCTCGTTCAGTTGAATCAATGCTCTGCTTCTATGGGAGAGCAAGCCTTGCCCTCCCTCCAGCAGGAACACGTGTGCCGCCTGCCATGGTGGCATAAGTGTTCCTGCTCTGGGTTCCATACTCCCTGCCCTGGGTAGAGCTCAGCCCTTGCCCTGCTGCTCTGTCAGCAGCCTTCCTTCAGCACGGGCGCGAAACTTGCTGGCTTCAATGTCGGTGTCATTCCCTCGTTCGTTCAGACCTGTTACAGTCGTTCCTGTCTTCAGCTATGGTTTTGTGTGATTTTGGTTTTTTGTTTTTGTTTGTTTTGGTTTGGTTTTTTTTTTGTTTTGGGTTTTTTTGTTTGTTTGGTTGGTTTTTTTTAAAATATATTTTTTTGTTTTGTTTTTGTGGGGTTTTTTGTTTTTTTTTTTTTTTTTGTTTTGGGGTTTTTTCGTTTGTTTGTTTGTTTGTTTTTTAAATATATTTTTTGTTTTGTTTTTGTGGGGGTTTTTTTGTTTGTTTGTTTGTGTTTTTTTCCTGTCAATGCAGATCTGCAGGTCCTGGTAGGGCAAGTAGTCCTGCTTGTTTAAAAACTTCAATTAAAGCAGGTCTGGGATTCTTCAGCCTGGAAAAGGTAAGGGTCAGGGGAACCTTTTTAATGTGTGTAAATGCCAAAAGTGGCTGCAGATAGACCAGAGCTGGGCTCCTGGCAGTGGTGTGCAGTGACAGGACAAAAGGGAACGGCCATAAAGTGAGACGCAGGAGATTCTCTCAGAATGTGAGAAAACACTTCTTCCCTGCAAGGGTGACTTGAGTGCTGCCCAGCAGTCTCCCACCTCAGAGATACTCATAGGCCACCTGGACATGGTTCTGAGCAACCATCTCTGAATTGTCCTGCCTGAGCAGAAGGTTTGGACCAAATTACTTCCAGAGGTTCCTCCCAACCTCAGCTACTCTGTGATCTATCCCATTTAAATTTTGATCCCTGTAGTGTAAACTCTTATCCTTTCTCCTTATACTAGAATTCCTTTCCTCAGCTGTACATGGAAATGTTTGCGATCTTTGTCAGAAAAGGGTGCATTCTTTCCATGTTCCACCATCCAGTTCCTGTGAATTACATGTTTAAGCCTTTTTGTCTAATGATAGGGTCTATTATCACTTTGAATACTGTCTACAAGCTGCAGACACTGAAGTTGCTTCATTTTTGGGCTGCTCTGTGCATGTGTGCACATGTGCTTGTACTTACATGGATGTAGATACATGTTCTCTTGGCTGCTCATCACTTCCACACTGGGCCATACCTGGTCTGGTAAAGATGTACTGTTCACTTAATTTGTGGATGTAGCCTGTTGGATTCATCAAATAACCCCCAGAGTTGTCCAGCCCTTTGCAAAAGCCATCTTCCATATTGTATAGGCTGAGAAACAGGTCAAGGCCTGAGAGTATATGCCATAGCTCACATTAGAATTCTAAAATATCTGACTCTGGCCTACAGTAGACGCTTTTTTTTCTTCTCACATTTTACTGAAGGATTTTGCAATGCTAAGACTATTTCAGTTTTTCCCCCCTCACTCCTCAGGCTCCAGTGATGGGAGAACTAACAAGTTCCAGACATCTGTAGTGAATAAACGGTGACAATTATTCACTGAATGCAGAAAATTTCTTTTCCACAGCATTTCACCCTCAGTACACCACAGTTAGCTAAGTGGTGTCTGTATGCCTGACAGACATATGACCAAATGAGAGATGGCATCTTTTTGATCCTAATCTAACTGCTGTCTAGACTGAGACAATGAAAACTATTTACTCCATCAGTCCATTAGTAGAAAATCCATATGGAAGAAAATGGGCACAGCCAAATAACTGTTAAATTAGAATAATCCTGTTCTCTTAGACAGTTTGTGGCTCGCTTTAAAATACTTTTAAAGGGACATAAACATTTTATATAGCTTTGTATAGATTTGAATGAAGTTCTTTGTACACCCTCTAGGTCCTATTTGCCAGCTTTTGTTCTTTTTGCAGGTAATGGAATATGATTGTTCTAATTTTTGTATTTAGTGAGCCAACATGTCTCCTGAAAAAAACAGCCTGTACACTATTCTTGAGCTATTTTATCTTGAATGAGTTGCTCTACCTGTATTTCTTTCTAACTAAATTTATGCTCACATAGACAATTCTTTGCTATATTTATTTATACAGTTTTTGCGGAAGCTTTACTGTGTAAAATCCATATAAAAATGGTTCTTGCACTGCAGCCAAGTAAAAGGATCATGGGAAAAACATGTAGCATGTGAGCCAAATAAGCTGAATAATGATAGATGGCATCCAGAGGAATGTCAAGGGGTTTTTGTGGTTTTATTATTTCTACTATGGACACGTTGTTTGAAGAAAATACAGGATTAAGGTATTACTATTAATAGATTATTACATTCAGTGGAGAATTTAGCGTAGAAAAGGGATGATTTGATATATGAACAGGAGATATGAAAAGAAAAAAACACAGTGAAGGTTAAAAAGGAAAAAAGCTCAGAGAATACTGTTAAAATCCTGGGAGCTACTGCAGGGAAAAGTGGAAATTACAGGGAAATTAGCAAACAATGAAACATTGGAAATTGAACATGCAAAGGTTCAAAGAATCCTTCCGATCCATATTGGGTAGGATGATTTAATGGTCCTGCTGTCCCATTTTTTTTTGAACCTCATAGTGGGGAGTTTCAACAAAGACAAGAACCAGGCTTTGTCTTGTGGCCTTGCCTTGAAGGGGGATTTGCAGAGGAATGTTACTATTGCAGGATTTTCAGTCTGTTCATGCAGGTTATGCGCTCTTCTTGCTCTGTATGAAGGGCATGGAAAAAGGGTGTATGTGTAACTCTGTCTAAATTATAAAATGTGGACTTAGTTTTACTGAAATACATTTTGCTTTAAGAGAATTAATATCTTTCAAATAATTCCCTATCTAACTTTCATTAACATTGTAAATGGAATATCAAGGTTGATTTCAATACACAATTGCGTAAATAAAATACTTAGAAAATTAAAATTCTTTGTGCACATCTTTATAATTTACAGGGAATAACATATCCATGACACCATATTCAAGGAGACTTTCCTGGGGGAATGGCCCAGGAAAACCAAAGGCAATGCAATAAAAAGGATAACTTTTAAAATTAAGCATGAAGGAAGCATATCTTGACACTACCCCTGTCCCTGTACTAACAGTGTAAACTTATGGCCTGTGAGCTTGGTATGACTCACCAGAACAGTTACAGAATCACAGAATGGTTTGGGTTGGAAGGGATCTTCAACACCATCTAGTTCCAGGCCCTCTGCTCTGGGCAGGGACAGCTTTCATTAGACTCGGTTGCCCACAAGCCCCATCCAACCTGGCCTTGAACACTGCCAGGGATGGAGCATGCACAACTTCTCTGGGGAGCCTGTTCCATTGTCTCACCACTGCCACAGTAAAGAATTTTATCCCAATATCTAATCTAAACCTGCCCTCTTTCAGTTTAAAGCCACCTCACCTTGTCCTGTCACTACCTGCCCCCGTAAAAAGTCTCTCTCCAGCTCTCTTGTAGGTCCCCTTCAAGTACTGGAAAGGTCTATAAGGTCCCATTGGAGCCTTCTCTATGCTGAACAACTCCAGCTCCCTCAGCCTGTCTCCACAGGAGAACTGCTCCAGGCCTTTAATCATCTTTGTAGTCCAAAAGTTATTTTATAACTTTCTTCTGATGTCTTCCTTCATTCCTGAGAACCATGAAAGCAGCCAGTGGCTAAATCTAGTAAATTATTTGTTAGTGTCACTATGCTCCCAGTCACCATCTTGCCAGGGCAAGCCAGGAGCAACTTCAGGGCAACTTCAGGACATATGTACTTTTTGCCTGTGAATTAAGCCTGTTAGTCCTAGGAGTCTGATCCAAGCTTGTGTGCATGCACCAATTTTTTTTTTTGTCATCTTGGGCACATTTTCCTCCTTTGCCTTGGGAAAACGTGCTGTTTCTATTTGGCCAGAAAATTTGTGCATCCATTTTCTGTGCTGTACCTCAGAATTAAAAGAGCAAAAGCTGAGGTTCTTGGCTGTAGAGAACCTAAAATAGCATAAGTCTAACAATCCCACACATGATTGAGGACTTAGTGTATTATATAAATTAATAATGTCTGCAGTCCTAACTGTGTCAGGCATAACAGCCAGTAGACTGAGCCTATTTACTAGCACTGAAAGAACCAATGAGTCTTAATTCTAACATTTTTTGATGGTAATAGTAGTAAGTCACGCTGATGATAAAGAGATGAAGACAGCAAAGAATGTTAAGGGAACTCACAAAATTACTAAAATTCACATTACAGATTTGGATCTTCCAGTAACTCAACTAGTTTTTTTCATCAGTTCACTGAAGGAGTCAGACTCGATGATCCTTCTGCATCCCTTCCAACTGAGATGATTCTGTGACCTGTACCATGGCACCAACCCTCACGTCCCCCATCATTCCTGCATGGCTGCTGTGTTTGGGACCCCAGCAGTCAGAGATGGCAGCTGTGCCTGTGACTCACCAGGCTCACACCCTGCCTGTCCCATGGCAGCTCTGGAGGCCCTAACCAATCCCTCCCCGCTGCACAGTGTGGCCACAGCTCCCCCAAGGCCAGGGCACTTTGCTGCCCCTTCCTATGTCCTTGTCCTCGAGCCAGGGCCTCAGTGGTTCAGGAAGGGAAGGCATTAGCAAGCCCAACCTCCCTCCTGGCCCAGTGCTGTTTCCCTTGCATTGCCAGGCAGTGTTCAGGAGTTTTTACAGTGCTCAGGAGTTGAGGGCAAAAACAAGCCCTGTGGCAGAGGTGAGTAATGAAGCCTCCACCCTGGGCACACCCGTGCTGACTCTGCATTGTCCCCTGTGGCTGCTCTAGCTCGGGCCTCCAGGAGCCTGGGAAGGAACAGCCTCAGCTCATCTTCTCCAGTCTGCTGGCAAGACAAGGCAAGGCGAGGAAGGTGTTTTCCCCCCGTTCCTGCTGACTGACAGTTTTGCTGAAATGATATCCTGTTGTGATACAGGCAGAGGGGAGGGAGGAGCGTAAGGCACATATGGGCTATAGAACATAGAACTGCTTTATTGTGGATAACCCCAGGAGTGACCCTGACCTTCAGCACTGTCTCTGAGTGTGACGGGACATTCACCATTCACTCAAGAACCTATCAACAGATAGGGGGTGAGAAA